ATGGGGATGAATCTAGACATATTTTGGGGAAGGTGAAGTGGTTCTCGGTTGGCCCGGTTAGTCGGATAACCGCGGTTAATCACCGTCGGTTACTCGGTCAACCGACCGTCAAGGTAACCGGTTGGTTTTCGGTTAGCTGGTAACCGGCGGTTTTCGGTTAGAACCGGCGGTTACCCGCTAATCGCAAACCGAAATGCCAGCCCTAATCAGAGCAGAGATCCTCACGACTCTGACTCAAAACAACAACAAAAATTCAGTATAGCAATCGAAGCTTACCTTGCAGGAAGTCATGACTAAAGAAACTCAAGGATCAAAATCGGCTGCCACCATTCCCAACTCCAGTGGTGGAGTTGACTTGATGTCTCCTTATCATCTACCATCGTCAGACAATCCAGGCCAAGTTTATGTTCAGGACCTCCTCACCGATGCCAATTACAGTGAGTGGGCGACCGACATGGCAGAAGGATTGTTTGCCAAAAAAAAAATACATCTTCGTGGACGGAACCCTGCCGCGATCTGAAGAGGGATCTCCCGATCTGCGGAGTTGGCTTCGCTGTGATGTCATGGTTAAGGGATGGCTTAAGAGTGCCATGACCAAAGAAGTGCGTAGCAGTGTTCGTTATGCAACCACAACAAGGGAAATTTTGAGTGATTTAAAAGAACGATTTGGGAAAGGTAGCTCACCTCGAGCGTATGAGCTGCGAAAGACAATAAGCCTCTTGCGTCAAGGATCCATGGGAGTTTCCTCCTATTTCACAAAGCTTCGAACCCTAAGGGGTGAGCTTCAATCGATTTCTCCTCCACCCCGGTGCAGTCGCGGCAATTGCGTATGCGATTTCCAGAAGCAATTGCGAACATCCCGAGAGAAAGAACAAATCTACGATTTCCTCATGGGATTGAACGACGGATTTGGTGCGGTGAAAACGCACATCTTGAGCCTCCAACCAACACCGAGCCTTGTGACCACCTTCCATCTCGTCCTTGAGGATGAGTAGACCAGGGGAATCTCCGCCGCCCAAAGCCCATCGGTAGAAGGCGCTGTGTTATAGGCGAAGTAGTCTGCGGAGCCGAGAGGAGAACGCGAGCAACGCGGGAGAGAGAGACCCAGATGTACCTTTTGTCAACGAAATGGACACACAAGGGAGCAGTGCTTCGAGATTCTTGGCTGGCTGGAAGGATGGAAGAAACGCGAAGGCGGGACTCCAGGCGGTGGTCGTCGTGAAAGAAACGCAGGAAATAAGAGAAGGCCTCCTCCTCGTGCGGCACATGTGGCTGACGAAGCCACCAAGGGTGCTCAAGCCCTCTTCCCCCCAACGGGCTTAGGGTTGACTCAGGCCCAAGTTGCAAAATTAATGGAATTTTTGGGCCAAGGTGAAACTTCAGATAGCCCAACTCTACATCATGCTAATTTTATTGGTAAGCCAAGTAACGAGTGGGCCTTGGATTATGCCAGCACATATCATATCACTTTCAGCCCATATGCGTTGGAGTCAAAACAAGCGCACAATAGAACAACATGTGTCTGCATTCCTAATGGAGAGAAAATTCCTATCAAAAATACCGGGACACTAAGATTGACGGATGAAATCAAGCTTGACGGAGTGTTTGAAATTCCTGAATTTCAATGCAACTTACTCTCCGTCAGCCGTCTTACCAAAGATCAAAATTGTGCAGTAACATTTTTCTCCGATTTTGGTGTGATACAGGAATTACCAACGAGGAGGCTGATTGGGACGGGTAGGTTCCAAGATGGTTTATATGTCTGGGATGATGTGTCAAAGAAGAAGATGGCGATGACGGTGCAACAAGAGGGGACATAAGATATATGGCATCAACGATTGGGACACACATCTCCAGGCAAACTTCAGCAGTTGAAAACATCAACAAAATTGGTCTCATTTCACAAGCCCAGCCACTGTGATGCATGTGTTAGAGCTAAGCAAACTCGTTTGCCCTTCCCCACTAGCACTATTCGGACGAGTGGTTGTTTTGAATTAATACATTGTGATATTTTGGGTGACTATAAGACGTCATCCCTGTCAGGAGCACATTACTTTCTGACTATTGTTGATGATTATAGCCGTGGACTATGGATTTATCTGATGAAGCATAAGTCAGAAGTTGGCAGCTTGCTCCCTCGTTTTTGTAACATGGTTGAAACGCAATTTGGCATGTCAGTCAAACGTATCTGAGCAGACAATGGATCAGAGTTCCTCGATCCATGCATGATTATTATTCATCCAAGGGAATATTGTTGGAGACATCTTGTACGGACACACCACAAAAAAATGGCGTTGTTGAGAGAAAACACAGACACATCCTCGAAACTGCACGAGCCCTTCGTTTCCATGCCAATCTCCCTATCTGATTCTAGGGAGAATGTGTACTCACAGCAGCTTATATCATCAATCGATTGCCATCAAAGGCAATCAACAATCAAACTTAGTATGAAGTCTTACTCGGGAGGCCACCAAATTATTCTAACCTGCGCGTGTTTGGTTGTCAAGTATACACTCACGACAATAAAAGGGTCAAGGACAAATTCGAGGAAAGGGGGAGAGCTGGTATTTTTGTTGGGTACCCACAAGGGCAGAAAGGTTACAAGGTTTTTGGCATAGCAACTCAGAAGATCATAGTTTCTCGAAATATCAAGTTCTTAGAGAGCTCATTCCCACATAAAGTAAAGATCCAAATGCGCTCCTAAACTTCGAATCTCTAGTCTCAAGCTCAGTTCCAACTTTACATCCACCTCTTTTTACCTCTGATGATGATATTGAGCCTAGCATGTTCCTATCTTTACCCACCAATGACGACCAAGAAACCCCATTGGCTGTAGAGGAGACCGTAGACCCAGGCATCCGACTGCCGGCTCCCACAACTCAGCTTCGACGTAGCAACCGAGAATGAAGGCCTTCCTCAACTCTTAAAGGATATGACACATCACTCCCAGCATCACTCACCATCACGGAACCTGCCCCACCATCAGCTTCCCCTCAGGTATATCCATTAGCAAACCATGTGTCGTATGATCGATTTTCATTGCCTCACAAAGCTTTTTTGTCTGCCATAACCCTTACAAAAGAGCCTAAAAATTATCGTGAGGCCGCGATTGATCCTCGATGGCAAAAGGCCATGAAACAGGAGATCCAAGCATTAGAGGCCAATCAAACTTGGGAGTTGACAACCTTACCACCAGGGAAGAAGGCCATTGATTCCAAATGGGTCTACAAGGTCAAATTCAAACACTCTAGAGAGGTCGAACGTTTCAAGGCAAGGTTGGTTGCCAAAGGCTTCACCTAGATTCCAGGGGTAGATTATCATGACACATTTGCTCTTGTTGCCAAAATGGTCACTGTTCGTAGTTTGGTTGTTGTTGCTGCTTTACGCAATTGGCCACTGCACCAACTCAATGTCAATAACGCTTTTCTTCATGGTGATCTGGATGAGGAAGTGTACATGATAATGACTTTAGCATCAAGGATTTAGGACCTCTCAAGTTCTTCCTTGGAATTGAAGTTGCACGCTCGCCAAATGGAATTGTTCTCAGCCAACGCAAATATGCTATTGATATTTTTGAGGATAGTGGTCTTGATAATGGTCGGCCTAGTGCTTTCCCCATGGAGCAACACCACCGACTAGCCATGGCCAACACACCTAGTACCACCGATCCTGGTCAATATCGTCGATTGGTTGGTCGATTGCTCTATCTGACGGTTACCCGCCCAGATCTCCAGTATTCCGTCAATTTTCTCTGTCAATTTGCTGCTGATCCTATACTAGAACATATCACGGCCGTTGCTCGAGTTCTACGCTACCTCAAGAAATCTCCTGGCCAAGGGCTATTCTTTCCTAGTCATGGGTCGTTACAATTAGAAGGATTTTGTGATGCAGACTGGGGCGGGTGTGCTCTGACTCGCCGCTTCACCACTGGTTATTTCATTCGCGTTGGTGCCGCTCCCATATATTGGCGCACCAAGAAGCAAAGCGTGGTTTCTCGGTCCTCCATTGAAGCCGAGTATTGCTCAATGGCTACCACAGTAAGTGAGATAATATGGTTACGTGGTCTTCTGGTTGAGCTCGGATTCCCCCAAACTCAACCCACACCGCTCCATTGTGACAATCAAGCAGCCCTGCACATCGCGGCCAATCCTGTCTTCCACGAGCGCACTAAACACGTCGAGATGGATTGTCATTTTGTTCGCGAACACATTCAATCTCGAGACATTCTCCCTCAGAAAATCAATACCAGAGACCAACTTGCTGACCTCTTTACTAAAGCACTCGGTGCTGAGCGATTTCACTATCTACTTCACAAACTGGGCATTCGTGACCTTCATGCGTCAGTTTGAGGGGGAGTGTAGGAGCACTATTGACTTCACAGCTGCAATCTCTACAATCAATACACAATCTTCCAAAGACCAGCTCACACATCATTATTGGAGACACAAACCAACCACATTTATCACTCATGTTTTGTACTGTACATTATCACGTTTGTTTAAGCTGTAGAGTAGTTGTTAGCTTTGTATAAAGGAAGGGCTTATTGTAATGAAATGAAGTAAGAAGCAAAGAAAAATCTTGCATTCTTCAAACACTTCTACCATAGTTTTTTCACCACACCGTACTTGGACCAGCCGAAGTGATCGTTGACTCTCATCGCCCTGAGCCCTTTGACCATCATGACAGCCACGAAGCCACGTAATACAAATAACTCTCGAGTTGTTAGAAAAATGGGTTTGTATGGGTTCTTATCCCTTACTGTACGTCTCCTGGTTTGCAGATGGTGTTCCGACAAAGTCACGGTGACTTTCTACTCGGCGCGACGGTAGATATCAGGGCATCAATGATCACTACTTGGCGGAAAACCTGTCGGGGGAACTCATGTTGGTGCACAGGAACAAAGACTAGAGAGATTGTGACGACCCTAACTTCCTGCCACAGGAGCGGGAGGAGCTCATTTCAACGGCGAGGAAGATACCACGTACGTGGCTTTTCACGGTCCCAAAGCGACGCTGGTCTTGTACGAGACGACGACGTTCAAGGTTTTCAAGCTGAATTGGGATGCGCATGATTGGGAAAGAGTGGACAGCATAGGGGATTACGCATTGTTCTTCGGAGGCAATCAGGCGAGTTTTGTTTCCGCGGAGGAGTACTCTGGGTGTAGAGCCAACTGCATCTATTTCACGGATGATTATAGAGAAGGTCAGGAGGCTTACTTCCATGGGGGCTACGATATCGGCGTGTACGACATAGGAAAAGGAAGCGTTAAGTCGTTTACTTGTCGGGGTTCGTATGATCCTGTTCTGATTTGGCCGCCTGATAGACCGTTAATTACACATGTTTTCACCACTATTCTTGAGCCGTTTGAGGTGTTGATTCTCGTGTTTTAGGCCGATTTCACGCTAGGTTGTGCTTGTTTATGATATTTCAGGTCCTAGTAAGTGAATGAAGGTTTAGGAGCGAGTTCGGGGTCGATTGGACGAAGATCGGGCGCAAGGCAAGCCGATGAGGAAGCCACACAGGCACACACAAACCCCACACGGCCGTGCAAGTGACCAATGTGGCCGTGTGGGATTGTGCGAGCCTTCACACGGGCACAAATAAATTCCACACGGCCGTGTGAAGGAGCAATGTGGCCGTGTGGAATTCTACGAGAGCAAACACGGGCAGGGCTGAATTTCCACACGGCCGTGTGACTCTGGCCGTGTGGGAAGCCTGAAGTTCGACTTATCGAGACGCGGAGTTTTGGAAGCCACACGGTCAACTGGGTATACCACACGGCCGTGTGGCCTGCCCGTGTGATCGGGATTTTCAGGTTTTTACCCAATTTCGGGCCACAAGTGAGAGGATCGAATTTCTGAAGCAAAAACAGAGTTTTAGAGAGAGAAAGAGCGAAGAACAAACCCTAGGAGCTATTTGGAGTGGATTTCTCACCATTGAAGCCCAGATTGCGTCCCCAGGAGTGAAGATTGACATCCCAGAGCAGATTTTCCTCATCTTTATGAGTATGACTACTCTGATTTCTGTTTTCCTCTCTCTCTCTATGGAGTAGAACCTTTATCTCACTTGGGTATGAAGAACCCTAGTTCCATGTGTTAGGGATTTGATTGTAATGACTTGGGATGATTATACTATTTGGTTTTAATCGAATGATGCATGATTCATTGAATTGATTGAAGTCTGATCAGCTTTTTTTGATTTCTGCTGCAACCTGAGATAGATAGAATCTGATTAGGTTGTTAGAGCTACATCATTCGGTAGTAGGAGATTGGATATACGAGAGTTAGTCAGTTTACTGCTTTGTACTAGAATCCAATTCCAGTAGTGGAGTTCTGTGTTTATAGCCTCAGCTTTCTATCCCGGTGAAGACTAGTCGTCTGCCGGGTAGTTAGACTGAGAGAGCTTGGTCAGCTTAAGAGATTCCAAGCTACTGTCGGATCTTCCGCAGTTTAATCAACAGTAAATCAACCCAGGGTAATTACAATTGAAACCTAACTAAGGAGCTAGGGGGACTCATTTCCCGAGTGACTCTTCCATGCTTTAGAAAACCGAACCATTTCCTGCTTTTTACTGCTTTTAATTTAAACAACAATCACTCGACTTAGTTGGCTAGATAATAGATAATCACGGAGTAGGCAGTAGATCTAGACCCCGGGTTGATAATAGAACTTGCCTGTTACTGCATTCCCGGACTGCGATTACACTTGGTCGCAGTTTGGTGTTGTGTTTTGGCGTGTCAAGTTTTTGGCGCCGTTGCCGGGGACCCCTCTAGGTTATTGGGGAAACATGAGAATTTGTTACTCTAGCTTTTTCTTTACTGCATTGTTTTCTCTTCCACCTGTGTGCCTTCACGGGTTGCTTTTGCTGGTTGTGTGCAGGTAGTGCATGACCCGTAGCCAGTCAGGAGAACTACTACCATTAGACCAGGAGCTTGAACGGACCTGCAGGAACTTCAAGCGGGCTCTAAAGGCGCGACTGGCTGCGGAGGAGGCGCTAGCACAGCTGCAGATCACTGACGAAGAGGAGATGGCTGATCCACAGAACCATGATGTGATCAATCCAGAGGAGCAGACCATGGGATCCTACTGGACCGCCAGAGCCGCAGACATGAGGTCACCCATTCAACACCCTCATGTCCCAGCCAACAATTTTGAGGTGAGCACCTCAGTAATCACCATGCTGCGCGGTTCACTGGTGTTCCGTGGCAAGGAGGGTGAGTGCCCCCGATCGCATCTGAGGCGATTCCACGAGCTGATTGATGGAATCAAGATAAATGGGGTCCCAGCAGATGCCATCCAGCTGAGGTACTTCCCATTTACTCTGGAGGGGCAGGCAAAGGAGTGGCTAGGCACTCGACCTCGGGGCTCTATCACCATGTTCGCCAACCTGGCGGACAAGTTCTTCACCCGCTACCATCCCCCATCCAAGAAGGCTGACCTGCAGAAGCAAATTACCCATTTTGCTCAGGATGAGGATGAGACCATCAGGGATGCTTGGGAGAGATACACCAGTCTCTTCCTCAGGTGTCCCAATCATGGCTTCAATGATGCTTTCAAGGTGGCGCCTTCTATCACACCCTCTTTCCGGAGGACAAGCAGCTGATTGACTCGGTTTGTGGCGGGAACATGCTGACCAAAACACCGCCACAGCTGAATCAACTCTTTGAGGAGATGGCAGAGAACGAGTATGATTGGGGAACTGCCAGGAGATCGAGACGAGCACTAGGGCGGGGTGTGCATGCTGTGGGCACCCAGTCATCTGATTTGGTGCAGGTGGTATCGAAGCTGGTTTCAACTATCGATCGCTCTGGATTGATTGCAGGTACAGGACAGCCGCAGGCGATGCACTGCCAGTGGTGTGAGAGCTCCCATCACACCGTAGAGGACTGTCAGGCGATTAGGGAATCGTCTACTCCCCAGGAGCAGGTGGACTTCATCAGTAATGCCAGGCGCTTCGACCCCTACAGCAACACCTATAACGAGGGGTGGCGCCAACATCCTAACTTTTCTTGGGCTGGGGCAAATCCCAGACCACCAGCTCCCCAGGGACCACCTGGTTTCCAGAGACCCCCGTACCAGCCCAGACAAGGGCAATTTCAGCAGCCACAGCAACCACTCTACCAGCCCAGATAGGGGCCAGTTCCACCTCAGTCACAGGCGCGACCATTTCAGCAGACAGGGGCAGCACCTGCAGCCCCAGTACAGAGTGACCCGATGGCAGAATTGAGAGATTTGTTGGGTTCTCTGGCCACCTCCACTACAAACAAGTTCAATAACATCGAGCAGTTCATGGAGAAAGCTTCAGGTAAATTCTTGGAGCTAGAAGGTGGTCAGAGAAACACACAGGTTGTGCTGCGGGATATACAGACTCAGCTTGGGAGTGTTGCCCAGGCTGTAGCTCAGAGAACTCCTGGTACCTTGCCTGGTCAGACCATTCCTCACCCGCAGGACCCGAATGCCAACTGCAGTGCCATCACAACCAGGAGTGGCAAGGTGACTACCGATCCACCTGTTCGGGCAGAGTAGAGAGAGACCCCTTCTTCAGCACTTCCAGCTAATCAGGAAGAAATGGAGAAGGAGGTTGAGGTGCCTGCTCCTAAAACGCAACCAGTGGTGAAGGAGTATGTACCACAACTTCCCTTTCCTACTCGGTTGCACAAGGACCGATTGGAGACTGAGTTTGCCAAATTCATGGCAATGCTGAAGCAGGTAAACATAAGCATGCCCTTCGTGGAGGCATTATCGAAGATGCCCAAGTATGCCAAGTTCATGAAGGATCTCCTCACCAACAAGAGGAAGCTTGGGGAGCTGTCAACGGTGATGCTCAACGAGGAGTGTTCTGCCATCCTGCAGAACAAACTACCAGAGAAGCGAAAAGACCCAGGGAGTTTCACTATCCCTTGCATGATTGGTAGTTTGCATGTAGGGAAGTCCTTGGCGGATTTAGGCGCTAGCATAAATGTCATGCCATATAAACTGTTTAAAAAGCTAGGCCTAGGTGAACCCAGTGATACTAGGATGAGCATTCAACTTGCTGATAGATCCATTGTGAATCCTAGGGGTATAGCAGAGGACTTGATAGTCGCAGTAGGGCCATTTTCATATCCTGTTGATTTTGTGATTTTGGACATAAATGAGGATGTTGATGTGCCATTGATACTGGGTAGACCTTTTCTCGCCACCGCCAAGGCGCTCATTAATGTGAATGATGGAAAACTGATTTTACGAGCTGGGGGTGAACAAATCACCTTTTCTGTTTCTGATAATATGAAACACCCCTAGCTCCATGATGATTTAGACTACTGTGATATTGTTGCTGATTTTCAAACCGCACTCGCCATCACGAGTGCGGGTACTGATGATTTCCTTGAGCGCTGTCTTTTGCTAGGGGAACAGGCATCACAGGTGTGCAGCTGGAGGAGCAGCTTGCGGAGCTGGACGAGGCTGCGATCGAGGGGCGAGAGATACCATTCAAGCCGATCCCTATCTCGCCCTGGATCGCTACATCATTGGAGGAGCCGCTGGAGTTGGAGCTTAAGCCCCTCCCATCTCACCTGGAGTATGCATTTCTCCGGGAGGGGAATAAGCTCCCGGTCATTATCAGCTCGGATCTGACACCCGAGCAGAAGAGCAGCCTGGTGGCTCTGCTGCAGAAGTATGCCCGGGCCATGGCTTGGAAGATCACTGATATCAGAGGCATTAGCCCATCCTTCTACTCCCACAGAATTCTGATGGAGGATGAGGTTAAGCCAGTCAGGCAGCCACAGCGGAGATTGTCTCCTAACTTGGAGGCAGTGGTCCGGGCAGAGATTGTGAAGCTCATGGATGCAGGGATCATCTTTGCTATATCTGATAGCAAGTGGATCAGTCCCACTCAAGTGGTCCCGAAGAAAGGCGGGATGACTGTGGTCTCGAATGAGAAGAAGGAGTTGATCCCGATGCGGACCGTGACCGGCTGGAGAGTCTGCATCGATTACCGGTGCCTGAACGACGCCACCAGGAAAGATCATTTCCCCCTACCTTTCATTGATCAGATGCTGGAGAGGTTGGCTGGCCATGAGTTTTATTGCTTTCTAGATGGCATGTCTGGTTACTTCCAGATTCCTATTGCACCGGAGGATCAGGCGAAGACCACATTCACTTGCCCCTTCGGTACCTTTGCTTACCGGAGGATTCCATTTGGGCTGTGTAATGCACCGGCGACCTTCCAGAGATGCATGCTGGCGATCTTCGACCGACTGGTTGGAGAGATCATGGAAGTCTTCATGGATGATTTCTCGGTATATGGAGAATCCTTCACCCACTGTCTCCATAACCTGGAACTCGTTCTGAAGAGGTGCGAGGAGACTAATCTGGCACTCAGCTGGGAGAAGTGCCATTTTATGGTTCGT